CCATGTCTATGAATAGATATAGATGTGCATCTGTTCTTAAGTAAATATACATATGTATGAATAACAACATGTCAGTCTGCAGTAAATACACATGTTTACATTTGATTATAAATCTACCATAGGAAAGCCATACATATGACTAAGTGTATATATATATATATATATATATATATATATATATATATATATATATATATATGATAACAAAGATTGTGTTTCACAAACGCTACACCAAAAAAATAACAAGACAAAACAAAATCAACTCGTATATTTCTGGATGATAACACTTTTAAGGTGATTAGTTTTTGTAAGTAAAGTACACATTAATAAGAAATAGAGCATTGATAATAAACAAATGAGATAAAATGTTCAAAACTGATCTTCTCAAGGACATTAATGTGAAATAAATGCAAAAACACAGGCTGGAATTTGAACTCAGTTTATCAAATCCATCTTTACACTCACACACACACACATATATTGTTTATAATTACATTGTTTAAAATTTACTATATTTATTGGGAAAGTGTGTACAATATCTGAGATAGAGTATTTGTAGATATAGCCAGTGTGAACATAGAAATCAATACAGTATGATGACAATCAGTATCATGCCTTAAGTGATCTTCAGCCAATGTGTTCGTACTCTTATGTAGGCTCAATATGTAGGTTCTAAGGTTCACTATCTATCTATCTATCTATCTATCACTGTCTTTCTCAGTTTGTCACACATTTTATTTAAATATTAGAGTTTAGAAGATAAAAGTTTACTTAATAAGTGTTGGTATGTTCTTCATTTTTAATTTGATTTATATATATATATATATATATATATATATATATATATATCACATATAGGTACTGAATGCCAGGTGGCGTAAGCCTTGATGTGCTGGTGGTATCATGACCAGTGGCTTGGAATAAGAAGTCATGTCCATTATATTCACTCACATGCAAATACCCTTCTCCCTAGCTATAGGTAAATAGTAGGACAGACTGGTCTCTGTAGCCTTGATTGGTAACCAGGCTAGGAGAAAGAAAACTCTGAATTCAAACCATCCTGAAGAGGGTTGGCAAAAGACGTGAGCTTCTTATAGGAGTCAATGCTGAACAAGTAGCTAGGAGATGGAATTTAGAAAAGATTGTGATTGTTGCATCATGTAGACATGTAGCATACAGTGCACTAATGCAGGACATGGTACTATGATGAAGAGAGTGTGTATTGCAGGGCATAGGAAATTGACCACTTTAAAAAAAATCACTTGTGCAGATTGTTCAGTAAAACCTTAGAATAAATCTTCATTCATCATTCTCAATAAGAGACTCTATCCATATATCAATGAATAAATAATATGAAGGCTCACTTAAATATTACCAAGAAACATTAACTTATTCATCATTGATGAAACTTTATTTATAGGAATCAATAACATTAAAAAATCCTGAAAATAATAATTTGATTAAATAATATTATATAATACAACTCTATTTTAATAAGGAAAATTATAAAATGAATTCAACTCACCAAATAATCAGATATAAACAACTAGTTTCACTCAGTGTTTGGTATTTTGGGAACATAATCCTGACATTAAACAGAGCACTGCCCTTCCCAACCCTATTCTTAGGTGGTATATCACTGGAGTTGGCTATATCTGATAATGCCTTCTCAACTCTGTAAACTGCCAAGCTACATGACAAAACATCATTAAGTTGGTTACAAGACACTATAATGACATGCAGTGGTCAAGTTATCATGCAAATCAACACACTATAAACACACACATACATGTGTGTGTGTGTGTGTGTATATATACACATATATATATATATATATATATATATATATATATATATATAGAGAGAGAGAGAGAGAGAGATAAAACTCCTTTTATAAGTGCAGTAGAACAATATCTAAATTCTACTGGCTTGGATTTGAATCCAGTAAAAATAAGTTTCAACTTTACAGGTATACAGCTTTCATTTCTCTTCAAAGCTACAGTCAGTATTACAGATATACATATTTGTAAAAAGAATGAAACAGGGTTGTATAATTATATACAGATTTATATACAAAAGTAAATGTATCTAAGCAAAGATATATCGGTAACAGTGAAGAACATGTGATGTTTTTATCTTTTTAAAACTTGTTCATGAAAAAATTAGTAAAAAATAAAACTGAAAATAAGAAAAAAAGCAAAAATTTATATTCTGACTCATGTCTCCATTTTTGTTGTTATTTGTAATAATAATACTAATAAAAATGAGGATGTTAGTCTAGATTTAAATAATGCAAATAATGACAACTACACATCCCAGAAATTTGGATAAAAAACCAAAATATATCTGACATTGTTCAAATACTTAAATATCTTCCTCATATGTTTGCAATTAAAACAATGTTATTCTGTCTTTGTCAAGAGATTTCTATATTTCTATTTCCATGGAAAGTGTTCAAACAAACTATATTCTTTAGTTCTACCAGTTCTAACACATATTACACCGGTGAGATATAAGTTTGACTTGAACAGCCTTCTTCTCATGAACCTTTGTGAGAGCATACTTTCCTATCTTGTTCAAATCTTGGGTTGACCATTATCTTCCCCACATAAACTGTGCCTCTTACTCAGTAATACTCTGCCTCAGGTGGCTTTATACAGAGTGAAGATTATTATAAAAAAATCCCTGAACATGATATATTCTTGCACTCACCAGAGATTGACTTGTTCAATGTAAAATGTTATTGGATCCTTTGGAAAATATCATACTTTTGAATTTCTGGTTCGGTGGTTTTGAAACTTTCACTAAGCAGATACACAAGAATGTGAAATGGTTGGAAAATGAAGCAAAGGTCTGTGTGGCAATTTATCTGTCTCCTTTGTATACTTAATTCACATTGACGTTGTAAATGTATTGTCTGTTTCTTTTTTCAAAGAGTCATTAACATGTCCAACATTGTTTGGGCACTGTGATCATTCCTTTATATACACAAATGGATCAGATGAAATATGTTGACAAAAAGCAACCATAAAAAGAAGAGATTTAAGCCTCCAAACAATGTAGGATATTTTAATGACTCATCTCAAAAACAATAGATTTATAGCTAATATATTTTTGTGTCCTTTTTTTATGCAATCTCCCTTCCTGATATAGGTGATCATGGTTCTCCACAGATTAATTATTTTTATCATATGTGAACTACCATAATTTCTTGGGACAGATAGTTTTCCCATTGCCTTCTCTACAGTTTTGAATTCTGAATAGTGCTTCTCTTAAACTGACAGCCTACCAAGTCTAAAGAGCCCAGTTTACCCTGCTATTTTACCTATATGGGCATTAGTGCAAAAGTAAATGCAAAAGACTAGGACAGAATTTGAACTCAGCTTATTGTCTAGAAATATTCTATACCAGATAAAATTAAACAAGACTTCGTCCAAGCCATAGACATATATCTGTTTTGGTCTATGACAGGACCAAATGAACATTAACAAAATGATTGGAAAAGAAGCTAGATGATATATATACAAGGATGTTTCATTTAATCTGTCATAGAAAGCAGCTTTGTGGTCATCTACTTTCCATTTCCATCTGAAAAGTCATTCAAGAGAGAAGACCATTGTTTGCAAGCCATCAATGAAAAAGTAAAGATGATATTCTGCTGTGGATATCAAAACAAGAACATATTAGCATTGGTTGCTCATTCAAAACATATATTCAGCAAATATACAACACACAAGATGCCAGCCTGAATAACTACTTAGTGTGATGGATAATTATGAAGAATAGAGAGAAATAACTGTGAGAATCTGTGCAATCAGTAGGACATGATGATGATGATGATGTAAGTCAATATGTACCTAAACTAGAGTTGAGAGATTAATTTGTTCTCATGGACTAAACCTGGTGAGGGTTGAAGAATGAATCAATCAAAATGTTGTGCTAACAAAAGGAAATATACAAGGAATAGATTTTGAGCATCTGAAAAATGTTATTAATTCTTCTCAAAGTTATAGAAAATAGAAATAAATTTTCTGTCTGAATTTATGGGATGAGGAGTGTTAAATAGGAATAAATTGTCACTGCCAACACTGGAATTTGAACACAGATCACCAGAGAGCAAACACAGGTGATCCCATTTTGAATAAGTTGACCATATGATGGTAAAGGAAATGTATATATGGGAATTAGCGTGGCATCTAAGTGATCACTCTAGGGATTACTATTTGGATCACTATATGGATTACTATTCAAATCACTATTCGGTGGTTACTTTTCAAGCAAGTATTGTCAAGCAAGTGAGTGTTATTCAAAGGTGTCTGACACCGGTATTGTACAACAGGATTACTATAGATGTATCTGCGATTACAAAGTCTCTACAACAACAAGCGTTATGAAAATGACAATGAGTATTTGTTGACATTGCAAAAATAGCAACGAGTGTTTGTTGACAAAAAGGAGTTATCATTATTAACATTACTTACATTTGGGCCAATGTCCTCATCTTTGAAGAAAATTGAGAAGAAACTTACTTTTTTTTAAAAATTTGAATTGAACACTTTATTTAATTTACAGGGTTAGACAGGTCTTGCTCGACTGTCCATGTCTTGTATTGATCTCTTTTGGTACTGCTCAGTGGATTAAAGCATTGATTCATATATTTGGTTGCATATTAATTGTGAGTTCAGTCCTTGGGCTGGGTAGTGGAGAGATAGACTCAGTGATTTTGACTGATTAATTGATTGATTTGTTTTCTACAGCTTATCAATCCATTGTAGTTCATTTAAAACCAGAAAATATTTTTAGATTGTAAGAATTTTTATTTGAGATAATAATGGTTTAGACATACAATTCTTACTAATTAACGCATAGCTGGGAAGAAAAAGTGGATTCAAACCTTTACCAATGGTATTTTCACATAAATGAATATAACGCACATTGAAACTCAGCTCTCTGATTAACAGTTCCATGCCATTATCCATTATATCACCTGAACATCCAAGCTTACAGCACCTGGTATTCCCAAGCAGTCACCCATCTAGGTACTAGCCTGCTCAATGTTGCTTAACTTTGGATATCGTACGGGAACTGGTGTTTCAGTGTGTCCATAATCCTAGACAGAATGGAAAACAGGTCGAGTAGTAACTATTCAGTACTCAAAAAGAACAAGATGGAATATCCCTAGATATAAACTGTGGAATGAGGACAATCTACTTTTGTAGATTATATAAAGTGTTCATTTCAAAATTCTCTGAAGGTTAACTGAATCGACAGATACTTGAAGAAGAGTGGAGAGTCGTCCTGGGTATGATAATAAACCGCTGATTGGGAGATTGGAGGTTTTGAGAAGTGTTGAACCACCTCTTAATTTCTGTTTTTCACAGGTCCACCCTGATCCAAGGTGGTAGCACCTGTTAGGGTCCCAACTATGGGCAAATAGCCTTACCCCCAAACTGAGGTCAAAACACTATGAAAGTATAAAAATACATTTTTATAGAGAAAATACCAGCAATACATTTTCATAGAAAAAAAATTACCAGCAATAAATTAAAAAACAAATTTACCAGCAATACATTTTTGTAAAGAAAATTACTAATGCTTTCAAGAAAATTAAATTTCAGCACTAAATGACCCATAAGGAGTTGATATGCTGCTAAACAAACCAACAAACAAGAGTGTCGAGCATGACAGATGAACGTCCATGGTATTCTCAGGATCCTTCTGTAGAACTACATTTCTGTTGCTTTAAATATCTTCTTAATCTGTGAGGAGATTCTATAGGATGACTGATATTACATAACAGTTCAGGACTCTCTTTGTTTCTAGAGAAAAAAACTTGCAAAAAAATATAGAATTTGTTTGTTTTCTTTTCAGTTAGCATCATATCTTTCCTCTGTCACAGACTCCTACCTGAGATTTCAGTTACCACTACTACCCCACTCTCCCAAACAAAACTGCCCTTGCTCCTGTCCCAATACAAAACAGCCTCTGCTGGAACATACATGAATAAAGTCCTTGAATCTGTCAGATATCATTGGCATAACAATAAATATCCCTCATTGAAATGTCCATCTTCTGATAGTGAGAATAAATTTAATGAACACTATTCTCTGTGATGACATTGAGAGGAAGTTATTAAATAATTGCATTAAGATAAAAACTGATTTCTTTTACAAGTACATCAATTACCAGTTTTCTGGTATCTTATTTAAAAGCTTTTCCAGCTTAACAAATTTTTTGAATCAGCCAATATCAAATAAATATTATCTTGGTGTTTTTACTTTCCAAAGTCTACAATAAGCATCAGTATATCTATAATATACTACTGTCTTAAGGAAAGACTAGAGTAACCCAGAGAAATGGATTTGGAAAATGAGTTAAACATTTTATATACAATGCAGAAATAAGTAAATATAAGTAATACTTAACATTCAGTGTATATATATATATATATATATATATATATATATATATGTCAAAAATTGTCCCACACAGAAAAATTACAGCACATATAAACTACAAGCTGTATGTTAAGGAAAAAACTTTTACTTGTAAAGTTCCAAGAGAGATATGGTATAGCCCTGTGGTAACTCTTTGGTTCCTCTTAGAACACATTGAAATGTATCATCCTCTGGTGGTAGCAAAACCAAAACTTACTAGTCTCACCAATGGTCTGTTACATAACCCACAAGGGCTCCTTAAGACATCACTAATTTTTTAAAGTCAAAATGGAGATAATTACCTTTTGCATCTTTACAATTAATTCATTAATAATTTCTGATTTATTTCTATTTATTTAATCACAACTGATCACAACTAAAAACTTTTGACTCTTCAATCTTCTCTCGAATTGATGGCACAAATTTCAAAATATAATTTCCCATTTAAACCCAATCAAGACTATCCATTCCTTCAGTACCTCAACATGGGAAAAGTTTATGTTATGTTTAAAAAGATTTTTGTAGATACGAGTGCAATGAAGTATTTTCTTCAGAAGTTCACCAGAATGAATCAATTTATTTTGCTTTGAATTGAACTAGAAATTCCCTGCCTTAAATTTTGTTGGCCTGACATGTTTATTATAAAACTTTTTATTTTCTGTTCTGTCTGTAGTAGAGAGGAAAGTATTAACCACATTTGATATAAATCAAAACTGATAAAAAAAAAAGAAAAAACTTGTTGTTGCATGTTTCTGTTATCAATGATTTATAAGCCTTGCTGAATTTTGTTTGACCAACCAAGATTGAAACTAGTTCACTAATACCACTAATATAACTAATAATATCCAGCAAGTTTTCTAACACACCTTTAATCCCCCATTTTTTATCATTATTGGAAACTTTTTTAAGCAGTTTGTTATGATGTCATGTAGAATTATGTTTCTTCCTGAAAACATCACTGTCACTGTTAATTGTCTCAAGAGAAATTATTGTGGGTTAAATGTGAGCAAAACTAGCTTACCAAGTAAATTCTTCTAAAGGAAGTAATGTGATAAAAGCCTTTAAAGATATTTCTGTTTGTTTGCATTAGATTTAACAGAGGATCATGCTGAAGCTGGTTAAATCTCCAGCGATATTTCTAGCCATCTTGTGCATCAGTCAGGAATTTCAAGTGGTTTCTTGTAATTGTGTCTGTTCTAAAAAAAAGGGCATCAAACTGTGAGTTGCCAATAGATCAGAGCTTTACTTATATTCTAAAATAAATCAATAAAGCTATTTTCAAAAGTAGAGCAAAAGAGAGAAACAGATTTTAGTATCAGCACTAAGGTCTAATAAAATTATTAACTAGAATGTATTTGATAGACAAATATTTTACAAGGATGAAACTTTCTTTAATTGATTGCAGGACCAGCTCATTAACAATAAATATTACTGCATAACAACCATTTATTGATAAAAGTCCAGAACAAAAGGAAAGAAAGGAGATGAGTTTATTGTCAATTCTCAAAAAATTAGAATATTATGTAAGAGGTGAATATTTTTAGTTATTTATTTCAGAAAGTGAAACCTGTATATATTCTAGACTGATTCAACTGTTTGAAGCACACTATGGTAATTACAGTTTACAGTTCAATGAAGTAGAAAAAAAACATATATAAACACATAAATCCAAGTTGCTTGTAGTTCAGTATGAAGTTTTCACAATCAGTGATCATTTGGTGGTCCACTCTGGTACTGTGTTATTTCTTAGTAAAAAGTTATGTTGACTTTTGGACTTATTAGTCCAAAGTCAACACAACTTTTTACTAAGAAATTTCAGAGCACTTTATATATATTTTTTTTTTTCAGCAGGTCTTGGCACTGACCAAAAGTGAGAAAACTATTAGCAACTGGCTTGCTGACCACAGTATTACTGTGCTTGATTGACCATCCAACTTGCTTGACATAAATTCCATTGAAGTATTGTCAAGAAGAAAACGAGAGAGACCCTAACCAATAATATGCATAAGATGCAGGCCATTAATGAAACAACCTGGGCATCCACCACACCTCAGCAGTGTCACAAGCTGATCACCTCTATGACATGCTGTTTTGATGCAGTAATACATGCAAAAGGAACCTCAACCAAGTATTGAGTGTATAAATGAACATACCTTTGGGAAGTTCTACATTTCCCTATAATAAATTCTTTTTACTGAATTTATAAAATATTTTAATATTTTAAGGTGGCAGATTTTTTATTTTTATGATTTGTAAGTCATAATTATTAAAATTAAAACAAAAAATGCATGAAACATTTAATTTCATGTGTGATGAATCTAGAACATAAGAAAGTTCCATTTTTTTAATTAAAAAAAATTACATTCTAATATTTTCACATGAACTTAAATGTTGTTACATTTAATCTGAGCAATCAAATAAAGAAAACACAAAACAAGCAGTTTGTTTTATTTTTTATCTATTTTGTACATGATATGCCTTTTATCTATGACTCAAACCTCTCAATTGAATCCTACTTAAATCTTTTCAAATATCATAAATTTTTTTGCAAGAAAAATAGAATTGTAGCATAATTACTTATAACCTGTCTTGAGCCATTTTATCTGGCAAACATTTCGAAGAAGGAAATGATTATGTAAGAACTTCACACAAACATCTATATGAACATTTATTCACAATTTGTATATATTCTAAATCATGAACATAGGGCCTATAACCTGTTAGGGTCATAGGGACCCTGCATGTATGAACGGCAGTGCTGGCAGTGTCTATGGCAAGATAGTACCTATTCCCATGCAGGCTGGTTTTAAATTCAGAGATGTCCTTGTTTTAAAATTGTTTCCTTTCCAAGGCTAAAGAGCCTGTTCTACTCTATTATTTAGGGGGTGAAATTCAGAATTTTCCATGACCTAAATTGGCTGCCATACAAGGTAAGATAACCGAGTCTGCTCTTCTATTTAATGTATAGCTGGAGGAAGATGAATTCATTCCTTTTCTAAGGCAATGAGTAAACAAAACATACTCAGTCAAAATTTGTGCTTAATATGCGGATTCTACTTTACATGCTGATAAATATTGTACTATATGCACATCCATATTTGAAGAAGCATTGGAATAGTGAAAGATGCCTTCTAAAAACTAGTAATATAGTATGAAACAGGAAGATTTCATTAGAAGTAAAGAAAAGTCTTAAAATCCTATTGAATTTTAATCCTCCTATATGATAACACATGGTAGACAATTTCCTCACAGATGAAGAGAAAACTGGAGGCAATGGAAATGTTGTTCTACAGGAGGATACTGAGAATACTGTGGATATAGTGCATATGCAACAAAGAAGTTTTAAAAAAATAAAAACAATAAGGATACTTATATTTAGAATCAGAAAGTGTACATAATGAGCAAACAGAGTTTTGGAAATTTATATGTACATTTATCTATTTCAATTCCTTAGGAGACGCAGGTTCGAATCCTGCCTGATGCCGCATATTTTTCTAAGAAGGTTTCTTAAACATTCAGGTCAGTAGATGGAAGTAAATAAATATACTGTTTAATTAATAAATAAAAACAGAGCATCTACTCAAATATGGGTAACCATTAAAAATAACGTTTAAGCAATAACTTAAAATATGTCGGATTAATAAATGAAAAATAAATTTCTAAGAAAATT